ACTGACTGTTTTGTAAGTTTTTAGATCTTTTTCTGTTCTTTTTTACCTTTTGCTACATGTGCGTATTTGTTTGTCCTTGTCAAATGCGCCTCATCTGTTTATCTGTTAATGAATCTGCGACACGAGCGCGCGGAGTTTACAAATGTCCGCTCTGCACCGGTATTCAAGCAGGAGCGATATATCCGTTTTCATAACGACAAGTAAACTTTGATGTAAACTCTGCGATATTATTTACGGCGAGTTGGTTAGTGTATCAGTAAATAACGCAAATCAATTTCTATAATTTATCCGTGAGGGTGTTGTCCGTCCATCTGTTACATTTTTTTTTTCACGGCAGTTAAACGGCTTTATATTCCAGCAGTAATCTGATGACATCTGTGGCATTTGTGCCAATGAGGAAAAGGCATAAACGTCAGTTTAGGAGAGTAATTTCTATTAATCTGATTTTAGGATAGAATAGGATTTTAAGAGTTTGTATTCCATATCTATCTATCTATCTATCTATCTATCTATCTATATATAAACAAAACTCTAGTACTACAAGGTATGAATTAAGTTAAAATGCAAATTTAGAGCTTTTGGGACTATAGTAATCTCATTAAAATATTTACTGTCTCACATACATGTATTTGTGTTGTGCTGAGTATGTATGTGGGAAAGGGAAAGGGAGAGAGAGAAAGAAGGATGAGAGCAATAGAGTCAACAGTCTGAACAAACACAGGGTACAGCTGTCAGCGGATAGATAACGCACACATGCAGAGAGGAAAAAAAGAGGCGATGATGATAACAATGAGAGGATTATGAACAATTTTTAAACCCGTCCAAATAGCTGCATATTTTTGTCTACGATTATGCATTTATTATTCTCTTTAAAGATCCTGAAACCAGATCAGAACGGAAAAGGGGGCTATGGATTCCCCTTCGGATCGATTTCATCAGCAGCTTTCTCAGATGTGTCCCTTCGAACTGTATCGCAGCCTGCCAGATTCCAACCCCTCAAGCCACCGATTTTCCCCCGGCAGCCTGTCTTCCCACCCGCTCTTCTCCCCTCTCATGCACCCCAACAGCACATCCCAGAGGTGGGGTAGTTTCCGACAGCGCCAGGGCTTGTTCCCTGGGCTTCTGGTAGATGATGATGTAAGTGAGGAGGATGTGTTTGGGAAGAGAGAGTTTGCTGTTGGGGCTATGGGATCATCGCAGCGCTGTCCTGGAGAACGGGGACAAGGTTCGGGTCCCGATCCTGGCGACTGGGGGCAGGATTTTGCAAGAGTTAAGAGACTCCGGATGGACTCGGCAGCTAGAAGCGAAGAAGAAACGAGGAGAGAAGAGAAGAGGGGGAGGAAGAGTATAGCTTCGGTTAGAATGGACGAGAGGAAGGCAGCAGAACAAGCGAACAGGAGGGAAAGCAGGGAAGGTAGGAAGCGACAGCGGCAAGAACTGAAGCTCCAGCTGGAGGAAACCAGAGGGAAACTTCTGGAACTCCAACATAAGGTGTGGAAAGTGTACGGAGGGCAGGCGGATGACGAGAAAGGAGGAGAGGAAGAACAAGAGAACGGGCCGATCAATCTCGATGAGGTTGCGGAGATGTTTTCAGACAGCGATGATCCGCTCATCGGCAGTGGATTTTCTCCTCCGCGCTGTTCGTCTAAGAAACCCAATGAAACCAATGGGAATGCCGGGATGTTTCCAGAGACCTCCGTGGACCTGGATTTGGAGTTAAATGGCGATCAGGTGTGGCTGGGATGCAGCCTGGTCAGAGGTGAGTGGGAGAGCGCAGAAGGAGGGCAGAAGTTTGCACAAGCTCTAAAACAAGAGCTGGCAAATGTTGTGGCTCAAGTTATCGACAGAGTTGTCTGCCACTATGCCGAAACCGACCCCTCGGCAGTCACATCCTCCGCCGTTCCTCAAGAAACCAGCATGACGTTGGATCTAAACCCAGACCGGAGGCCGAGAATTTATGTGGCAGAGCAGGTGGAAGCGTTGCCACTTATCACAAAGAGTCCTCAAGACAAGAGGGCCCCTATTGCTCAGAGTGTACACAAGGACCTCCTCCTCCCTCAAGCCAATCCCAGCCTCGCTCCGCTACCCCAGCCTCCTCTCCCGGCTCTTTTACCCCCTAGGAGCAAAGGGCACTTCCTCCCCTCCTATCCCCCAGACAACCCCGTTCCCCTGCCCCTTCTTCACTACACCATGCAGAATCTCTTTACCCGCTCCCTCTCCAGTTTGCCTCTTCATAAGGACTGCCTGTCTGAGTCTTTCATGGACTTCCGTTCACACAACTCTGCGTTCCCACCCCTCCCGTTGCTGGGCCAGCTAGACCCCTCTCCGTCGGATAGAGCGAGGGAAGGAGGGATGAGAGGAGGTGGAGCAGGAGTGGTGGATGGAGGAGATGCAGCACTCTATCTTGCTGCTGGGTCAATATCCTTTTATAAAAGCTGTGAAAATAGATACACATGTATAAATTTATATATATACACTACTGTGCAAACGTTTGGGGTCACAAAGATATTTCTTTAAAGAAATCAATAGTTTTAATCAGCAAGGATGTTTTAAATTGACAGTGAAGACTTTTATAATGTCGCTCAATATTTCAAATAAATGCCATTCTTTTGAACTTTGTATTCATCAAGGAATCCTGAAGAAAAACAATTCTCGGTTTTCACTAAAATATTAAGCAGCACAACTGTTTTCAACACTGATAATAATAAAAAATGTTTCTTAAGTAGCAAATCAGCACTAGAATGATTTCTGATGGATCATGTGACACTGAAAACTGGAGTAATTTCTGCTAAACATCCAGCTATGTCATTACAGCAACATAAAATAGAAAACAGTTATTTTAAGTTGCAATAATGTTTCACAATATTACAGTTTTCCAAGTATGTTTGATTAAATAGCTATGGTGAGCATGAGACATTTACTTAAGAATTCTTTAAAAAAAAATATTGCAGTCCCCTAACATTTGAATGGTAGTATACATGTATTTATTTGTTTGTTTGTATCAAGCATTCCTTAACCATCTACACTCTCAGGAAGGTCTCTCTCCGTGCCACCTGAAGAAAGCCAAACTCATGTTCTTTCACACACGCTACCCCAGCTCCAGCACACTCAAGACATATTTCCCTGATGTCAAAGTGAGCATCATTCATATCCTGAACACAAAATAGTATAGCTGTGTGTGCATAACCTGCACAAATTATATGGGCTAATGACTTATTGAATGAATTTACAGTGACCTATATACAGCAGTGTGGCATGGTTTCCTTTTGAAACGCTTTGGCTCAATTAGAACAGTCAGAAAATGTTCCTGCATTTGTAATAAATGAATATCTATGTAATTTTTATTGAAATTATATGCATTACATTAAAGCTGTATTGGTGTCTTTTACGTTAAACATCACACAGTGTCTTTAAAACATTACACTAAAATGTGCTGACTTACAATCATTATATACCATCTTTTGAAATGCTGCCGGAATTAACTTGGCGTTTCTGTTTTTCTCTACACAGTTCAATCGCTGTGTCACTTCCCAGCTGATTAAGTGGTTCAGTAACTTCCGGGAGTTCTTCTATATCCAGATGGAGCGCTTTGCCCGTCAGGCAGCCAGAGAGGGACTTGCATCTGCCAGGGAAAGCGCACTCCACCTGGGCAGAGACACTGAGCTCTACCGTATTCTCAACATGCACTACAATAAGAGCAATGATTATCAGGTCAGTGCGTGCATGTGCACGTGTGTAAAGGCTCGAGTGGTGCGTGTAACCTCTCAATTATGTGTATAAACATCATGTGCATTTTCTAGGTTCCAGAGAGGTTTGTGGAGGTATCTGAGGTGGCCCTGAGGGAGTTTTTCTCTGCCATACAGAGTGGTCGGGATGCTGATCCGTGCTGGAAGAAGGCCATCTACAAGATCATCGGTAAATTAGACAGTCCAGTGCCTGACAGCTTCCGTCTGCCTGGCTGCCCCACGGACTCTTACCGGATGGGTTAAACAGAGTTTATCACACACACACACACACACATGCACAGCCTCATAAAAACACTGTGCATGGATTGATATCATAAGTGTGCACAGAACAGTTAACAATTTGAATTAATGGCAAAGAACAAAGAAAATACAAAATTGTGCCGTAAAGATTGAGAACATTGAATAAGTGGTTATCATCATCATCATGATGCTCTAAAGTATTTCTTGTTTAAACATTATCTGACTGATAATTCTACTTTAGTCCGGCATTATTCCAGTAGGCACTGAAAAGCTTTCAAAATAAATGGAAAACATTTTCTCATTTGATTTGCTGTTACATTAATGCTTAAGTTATCTGAAAATGCAGGCCTGGTTGTCTTATGATTTTTTATATTACTTGTTACTTGTTATATAATGTTGCCGAGTTTCTGTGAACCTGTGGTGTCGTGTAATAAAATAAGTCAAACACTCCTTGCTGTCAGTCAATGCTACAATTTAGTGCTAAATGCTTATTGTAAAATGCACATGCAGCCTTACGTGACATATTATTGGCTGAGTACACTAAACAACATGAAAATGTCATATGCTCTACTGTGGGAGAGTACAGAGACCCTGGCTCTCAAACGATAAAACTGACAGTTACTTACCCTGAAGCTAAGCCCAAACACCTGACCGCAGTGGAATGAACATCTAAGTCAATACAGATGGTCAATACTAGATTTGTATTGTTTTACATTCAAGATTGGTTGACTAATTATTGGAAGTGTTAAGGGCTTTTTTGCTGAGTGGAAACAACAATAGTTTCATTACAAGTGATAAGGTCTTGATATAATCATAGTTATACACTAATAGCCTGTATCTAGTTAGAAGTAGGTAAAACAATTTTGTATTTACTAAAATAAGGTGGTATGGGCATTATCATAAATGTGACCTATTTTGATGCTATTCTTAAGAGAAATGCAAGGGAATGTGGTTCGATCACATGATTGTCGAGTGTGTGCGCCGCCGCGGCTGGTTAAAGACAGTGTAGAGAGTTATTATGGCGCTGCCGACTCCTCTGCTGCTGGAGCTGCTGTTATACGCCAGCTGTTTTATCTGCGGGATCATCACAGCCGCCTCTGTTACAATCTCGCAGGTGTCTGCTGTTTGTTATTTCACATAGAACGCCATAACAGACTTCACCTTAGTGTTACACGGCGCTTTGCGCTCGGAAACACGGCAAAATGCATGTTTCAGACTTTAATAATGTTGGATAAAAACTTGTTCGCAGCTTTGTTTAGCGCAGTTCTTTGCAGGAAATGCGTTTTGGTGTTTTCCCTAGCAATATTGACATGTGAAATCGTAACTTTCTCTCTGGAGGTATTTTGTGTTTGCACTCTCACGAGTTGCCCTCAAAATCGTCGGAGTCATGTGACTGGAGAAAGTAAAACTAGGAGTGTTTTTAAAAATGTGTTAAAAGCGTCGAGTGTATTTATCCATGCTGTAGATTAGAAGAACTAATACGTTTTAAAAGTAAAAACCAGGAAGAGTGACAGGAGAAGCAACTAAACTAAAGCTTCCACTTCTGTCATTCTCTTCACTTTTTTCTGTCTTGTGACCAGCTGAGAATCTGCTCCCAAGAGTAATTGGCTTATTAAAGTCAGATGAGCAGAAAAAGAGTGTGTAAAATTAGAGTGTTTGAAGGCGCCTCAGTCAGGTTTCATCCTGCTAGCTCAAGGAAAATAATAAAGTAGTGGGGAAAAATAACAGTACAGATATTGTCCACCAAGAATGATGGTCTTTGGCAGATTTTACTACAGTTTTTTTTTCAACCGCTTACACACAAAATCTTTACTTGTCACACAATTTCTGAAACCTGACACTCAAACACCAGAACCACACACCAAATCTGCAAAACATACACTAATTCTCGGCCTTTGACTCAGTTTTCAATTTCATAAAACACTTTTTTGCAAAACACAACACGCATTTCTCTATGCAACATACAGAAATCTAACAGGAATTAATAGTATTATGGCAAAGGTGTTTGCAAATGTTTGCTTTTGAGATGTGTTTGTGATATTTTGAATGCAGTGCTTCATTTTGCACGAGATGTGGGGCATTTTGCATTTTCTGTGTGCAATTCTTGGATTTGTGTGTAAAGTTTTGAAAAAAAGAGGCAAAGTTTTGAAAATGTGTGTAAGCAGTACAGTAAACTGTAACAAAGTATACTTTGATGTACTTTGTTTTTTAAGCATTAGAGGCACAAATCCCATGTTTTTTTAGATACAAGATAAACTATTATTTAACATAAACATGAAAAGTATCTAGTTTAAAATGCACAAACATCTGTATTCCACCCCTTCATTTTGACTTTGAGGTATTGAATATTAAATTAACCATCATAATTTGACAATTTGTTAAGCTGATATTCGGTGCTTTATTTTTAAGTAACATAATTTGGACTTTTCCTAGCATTATGTGAAGTAATGTCATTACTCTTTCTAGCTTTTCTTATGATTCTTTTAAAAATAAATTGTGTACTGAAAAAAGCAAGCTCCATAGAAAATGAATAAAAAATGTAAACGGCTCTTTTTTTCCCCCCTTTAGCTCTTTGTTGTACCTTATTCATGAGAAGTGTTTACTTTGGACATAAGATGCATTTTTATAACAGAGTTTTATCTTTCTTTTTTCACTTAAACAGGGCAGTTTTGATGGGAAGTGCATGCTGTACGGTTCAGTGCGTCTGAATTCCTCATCCATCGCTGTGCTTTCATCCAGTTCTCCTTCCCTTTGTTACTTTGTGTCAGCCATCTCAGTGTGTGTGGCCGTCTTCTGCTTTTCACTCACTCTCTACTGGATCTACATGGCCTGTGTTGACGGAGAGGTGAAAAGGTATGTCCAGGAATACAGTAATTCATGTGCTAGTGAGTTTGGTTTAGGAATGAGAACAGAGGTTATCTGAAGGTACCGCCGTTTCTGTTTCCTGTTATGCCATGCTCTAGTATTGGGATTGCAGGAGGAGATCTAAACGGACATGATGCAAACTCATAAAAATAAGTTGTTAGTATTTAGATATGTGACATTGGGGTCAGTAAGATTTTTTTTTAAAGAAATGTATACTTCTATTTAAGTAGTGATGCATTAAATTGATCAAAAGTGATGGAAATGACTTAATGTTACAAAAAAAATTATATTTCAGATTAATTAAAAAAATTAAGCAGCACAACTGTTTTCAGATTTGGTATTAATAAGAAATGTTTTTTAAACACCAAATCAGCACATTAGAATGATCTCTGGAGGAAATCAAAATATAAAATATATTAAAATAGAAAACACTTATTGAAAATTGTAATAATATTTCACTATTACTGTAGCTTAATCAAATAAATGCAGCCTTGGTGAGCAAAAATATTAACTATAAAAACTCTTGGTGACCCCAAACAGTTAAATGGTAGTGTGTATATATCTTAATAATAAGCTGTTAATACATTATGATCTAAACAAAATGATAAGAATCCCCTCAATGCACCATTATTAAATGTAGGGGAAAAAACTAATTTCAAATTCAGTAAGAGATGTTACAGCAGTCCTTGTACTCTCAGGGTGTAAAACCTTGTTCATATGAACAGATGAAGTGTTTTTCATTAAAACTTCTGAATACTCAGAAAAATAAATGCAGTTTAAACTTACATTAAGATAAAAATGTAATAATAGCAATATATTTCTTTCTAAAATGTAATGCAAGCATTGTGCAATGTTGTCTGATATCAGAGAGAAATTATGGATGAATGTTACTCTTGGCTTGTCTGGAGTCTTCCTCTTCTTCCTCTTGGTGACGGGATGCATCCTGAAAATCGGCCGAGACAGACTGTGTGACTCGGTGATTCAAACAGCGAAAAATATAACCAGGTGAGTGTGAGTGAGAGACCTCTGTAATAGCTTTGGATTATTGCAGGCAGACAGTATTGACCATGATGACAACCATAAATGACTTGTAGGTTTTGTGCATTTGCAGGTGTGAAGAAGCACAAAATAAGCCTTGGATGAGCCCTATAAATGGGAGTCAGTTCTACTCCAGACTACACAGTGCAGAGGTACTGTAGCTACAAACCTTGATCACAAACACATTGAGATACTATAATAGCATTATATATAGCATAGTATTTTCTATTTTTGTTTTAAATTCAGTTAAAGTTTTAGTAATTTGGTGTTTTTATTAGCTATATCTTTTGTAAAATATGTCATACTTTACATATCTTAAATAGTTTTTAAATGTAATTTTATTTCAGTTTTAGTTATTTTAGTACATCAAGTTAATCTAATTGAAAATGAGAAATGTTGTTTTGGCAACTAGCTAGAAAAAAATGATATTTATATATATTATAGCATTATTTTTTTATTTTATGCACTACTGTTCAAAAAGCTAAAAACAATCTTAATATTGTAACAGTATTACAATTTAATTTTCTATTGTAATGATTTTTTAGCAGTCATTACTTTAGTGTTACATGATCCTTCAGAAATCATTCTAATATAATTTATAAGAGGTACAAAAAAAGAACAAAAAACAAAACGAAATCTAAAACGTGAAATTTGATACATGGCAATTAAAAAAACAAGATCATACTATATCATGAAACGATTATATTTTATTTCATTATTTATTTGAATTATTATTATAATTATTTTATTATGCAATGTCTGTAATTACAAAATATATTGTTTATATGGCAATTAAAAAAACAAGATCATACTATATCATGAAACGATTATATTTTATTTCATTATTTATTTGAATTATTATTATAATTATTTTATTATGCAATGTCTGTAATTACAAAATATATTGTTTATTATTTTTTTTTATTATTATTTATTTATTTTTAAATTTGAGTGAAATTTCTGACATGGCAATTTAAAAAAAAGATTATTCCATATCATGAAATTATTTTGTTTTGTTATTATTTTTATGCAATGCCTATAATTACAAAGTCCTAAAATTATTTATTTATTATTTTTTCTCCTAGCATCCATCTTTAAGAACCTTTTTTTTTCTTTCTCTCTCTCAGACAGCAGTATGGGTGAATTTCTTCTTTTGGTTGATCATAGCAGTTCTGGTCCTGCTCCAGCGTAACAACGGGTCAGAAATCCGGTCAGAAGGAGAGGACCCATCAGCGACCCCTTCTGAAACGGAGCCCTTCTTCAACCGCCCAGGACGTTCTTAGTGAATAGAGACACAGCTAATCTATGTCGCTCCACACTAAAGCAGTGTCTATGTGCCGCTTGAACACACTCACTCACACGTACATACGCTTAAAGAACAAAAAACAAAACGAAATCTAAAACGTGAAATTTGATACATGGCAATTAAAAAAACAAGATCATACTATATCATGAAACGATTATATTTTATTTCATTATTTATTTGAATTATTATTATAATTATTTTATTATGCAATGTCTGTAATTACAAAATATATTGTTTATTATTTTTTTTTATTATTATTTATTTATTTTTAAATTTGAGTGAAATTTCTGACATGGCAATTAAAAAAAAAGATTATTCCATATCATGAAATTATTTTGTTTTGTTATTATTTTTATGCAATGCCTATAATTACAAAGTCCTAAAATTATTTATTTATTATTTTTTCTCCTAGCATCCATCTTTAAGAACCTTTTTTTTTCTTTCTCTCTCTCAGACAGCAGTATGGGTGAATTTCTTCTTTTGGTTGATCATAGCAGTTCTGGTCCTGCTCCAGCGTAACAACGGGTCAGAAATCCGGTCAGAAGGAGAGGACCCATCAGCGACCCCTTCTGAAACGGAGCCCTTCTTCAACCGCCCAGGACGTTCTTAGTGAATAGAGACACAGCTAATCTATGTCGCTCCACACTAAAGCAGTGTCTATGTGCCGCTTGAACACACTCACTCACACGTACATACGCTTGCATTGACAATCACACTGCTGGCTAGCAGTTGGCTAGCTGAGCCGGGAGGATTTTGGCAGCTCCAGTATATGCATTTTTACCAAGGGTTAGTTGCCATGGTTACTGATCTTAGCATCCATCTTTAAGAACCTTTTTTTTTCTTTCTCTCTCTCAGACAGCAGTATGGGTGAATTTCTTCTTTTGGTTGATCATAGCAGTTCTGGTCCTGCTCCAGCGTAACAACGGGTCAGAAATCCGGTCAGAAGGAGAGGACCCATCAGCGACCCCTTCTGAAACGGAGCCCTTCTTCAACCGCCCAGGACGTTCTTAGTGAATAGAGACACAGCTAATCTATGTCGCTCCACACTAAAGCAGTGTCTATGTGCCGCTTGAACACACTCACTCACACGTACATACGCTTGCATTGACAATCACACTGCTGGCTAGCAGTTGGCTAGCTGAGCCGAGAGGATTTTGGCAGCTCCAGTATACGCATTTTTACCAAGGGTTAGTTGCCATGGTTACTGATCTGTGGCTGGCAGCACAGACCTGGCAGGTGATAGTGTGCGGTTGCCAGATTGGTGGTGTGACCTGAACTGATTGAGACACGGCTTTATGCAAAGAGATCAAATCTGACAACATTGTCAGTGTTTTCATAAGCAGCAAAACGATATCAAAAAATAAACTTGAGGAGTTCATACTCAAATCTTCAAAAAAGGCACTCTCATTTCATGAGTACATATGTCAATTCAAAGACTTTTTTAGAATAACAACCATTAAATTGAACCTAACTGACCTGGAGTCAAACCAAGTTAACCACTGTACTGTAACTTTTAACTTAAGCCTGCTCTTTGTTAATGTACAACTTTTCGCCCTCTGCTGTCTGTTTATATGAATTACTCCATAAATCCCATTAGACGGTGCTCATGTGCCTATTTTTTTGGGCCAGGAATCTCCCATACGTGTTTTTCCCCCCTAATTTCACATTTCTCCTACTCATAGTCCTTGGTGTCCTTAACATGAGCAAAACTGCTTGAGAGTGTCTTTCCGAGAGTGTTTGGCTATTAATCTTGTGCCCAGTAGAGATGTCATTTTTTTTATGGCTTTTTCCTGCACACAGCCACGGGAGGTAGGAGTGTGTGTGTGTGTGTTTGGGATGACAGGGACATAAATCCATAATTTAGCCTGTGATGGTATCCGCTTTACACAGGCGAAGTGCCAAATCCGTGGTGCTGCCCACAGCACTAAAGTCCTCCGAATCACAGTGTACTTCCGCCCATCCCGGCAACACAGTGTCCAGGTCCAGTGTCCACTAAATGCTTCATCATCATCATCGAATCATTTCTCCTCCTCTTTTCTGCAACTTTTTGTACATTTTCATTTAACTTAGTACTATTGTTTTAGAACTGCTGGTTATGGATTATGCACTGACATTTTTTATGAATACTAAATCTGTTGTATAACCCGCTATGTCAGAGTTTATGGCTGTGTGAACATTTCAAAGCAATTAAATTTGTCAACCAAGTGCTTATGGTCTCACAATGTCTATATATTAAAGGTGCATGATGACTTCTTTGACATTTTTAATTTAAAGATTTAATTTAATTTTAAAGATTTAATTTAATGGCACCCTTTTCCATTCAATTTGAGGCAAGATACATATTAACAGATTTGGAGAAATTTAGCATCTCAAGAAATCTCTTGCTCACCAATGGATCCTTTGCAGTGAATGGGTGCCGTCAAATGAAGAATCAAAAAAGCTGATAAAAAAATTACAAGTAATCCACACAACTCCAGTCCATCAATTAACATCTTGGAAAGCAAAAAGCTGCGTATTTGTATGAAACATCTTGGATGGCCTCAGAGTACATTTTAATATTTAGGTGAACTTTTCCTTTAATAGTCACTATTAAATAGTGCAGGAAAGCTTGTACAGTTATTAGAGGACTGAATTGTTTGCTCTCAGTAAAACTTTATTTATATACTTAAATTATATAAATAACTTTTTTACATTGTACTCTTTCTCATACTTTGCTTTCTGACTATTCGAATTTGCATGTCCATTAAAATTGTACTCTTTCTTTAAAGCTGCTTGCTAAGTTTTCGGGTCTGTCACGGGCCTCGTAGGCGTGTTTTGTGTCCAGAAGCTCATCTAGTGTCCGTCGGAGGCGGGCCATGTCCAGCTGTGTGGCCTCACACTCTTCCCGCAGGCTCTGGGTCTCCACGTGCAGCTCCACTGCAGCCGCAGCCAGCACTGTGCTGCGCTCCTTGCACTGCGTTTGTATTCGGACAGCATCCGCCAGCATGGACTCCACACTGGACGCCACCGAATCGGTCTGTGACTTTACTATCTCAGTCATCATCTGGCAGAGAGAAAGAGGAGAGCATGGCCATGGGTGAAGGCTGAAAGTGAACTGAGGAATGGAGGAATATGCTAATACAGGGGGTTTAAACTTTTTGATGTCTTTTGAAAGATGTATCTTATGCTGACCAAGACTGTATTTATTTGATCTAAAATAGAATAAAGAAGGCAATAATAAAGTTTATTTCTTCTGCTGAACACAAGATATTTTGAAGAATGTGAATAACCAAACAGTTGCCAGGTGTCCTGACATTTTATCCTACCCGTCAGATTGTCCTAACCAGTCTTGCTGCGCACGCGCACATCAATATTACGTCAATTTTCTCACACTGAACAACAATAATTACTGTATTTGCATTACTGGTTGGGGTAGATGTAGACATTAATAAAACACAATCTAATTGGCAGAAAATTTAATTTATTGTTGGTTTCTGGCCAGCTGTATACCTTCTAGCCACAACCCTAAACAACACATAATTACTGTATTTACATTACTGTAAAGATAGGATTAGGGTTAGGGTAGGTGTAGACGTTAATAAACCATAATTTGACAGGTAGCACTTTTTGTTGTCGAATTATACTACCTAGGTACTGTTTTAATGGGAGGTAGCAAAATCAAAACAGCACCGGCGGTAGCCATTGACTTCCATAGTAAAATGCTATAGAAGTCAATGGCTACCATAAACATCACCCACATTCTTCAAAATATCTTTTTTGTGTGTGTGTGTGTGTGTGTGTGTGTGTGTTCAACAGAAGAAACTCATTCAGGTTTGGAACAACAGGAGGGTGAGGAAACAATGACAATTATAATTTTTGGGTGCACTATACCTTTAAGATAACACAGAACCTTGGTAGTTCTAAACTAAATATTTTTAAACATAGGCCTAATCCACTCCTAAATGTTGACCAACAATATAGATGACTCTTTTGTGTGTCAGTGGATCAAATGCTTTCTACACCTTCTGCAATCGGCAGAAACTCACGAGCAGCGTCCCAAAGTATGGATGATTTACATAATGCTTGCCAAGGACTGTCATTAAAGGGTTAGTGCCGTTCAAGGTCCAGAAAAGTATGATCGACATTCGACAAAGTAGTTCGTGTGACATCAGTGGTTCAACTGTAAAGTTACGAAGCTACGAGAATAATTTTTTGCACAAAGAAAACAAAAATAACGACTTTATTCCGCATTTTCATCTCTACTGCGTCACTTGTGGGCACGCGTTCACGACAGTACCATGACACGAGTGTGTGGCGGCGCTGACCCTTTCTTTAGGCAAAAAAGTATTCTCGTAGCTTCGTAACTTTACAGTTGAACCACTGATGTCACTTGGACTACTTTGACGATCATCTTGGTACTTTTCTGTACCTTGAACATGGTAGTTACCTTGCTGTCTATGGGAGGGTCAGAGAGCCCTCAGATTTCATCACTTACGGGTTTGGAACAACACGAGGGTGAGTAATTAATGACAGAATTTTCATTTTTGGGTGAACTAACTCTTTAAATGCATACTAGCAGAGTCGAGCATTTACACTCGGTCAAAGTGAAAATGCGTCAATCATCAGTCATGACGCCTCATTATACAGCAGCGGCACTCGGTTTGATCTGCCGGGCTTCAGAAGATATATCCAGCTGCAGACCCGCAGCACCAGCAGTTTCAGAACCTCAATAACTCCGCCCCTCACTTCCGGTTCTGTGGCTGCAGTTCTATGGCTGCGGTTCTGAAACTGCTGGTGCTGCGGGTCTGCAGCTGGATACTAGTGGGGCTTCAGCGGTATCAAGCGGCTTACAGAGGCTTACCGAGCCTCTCACATCAGTCACATCTACTGATTGCGAATATTAACTCCTATTAAAACACGAGACCGTATAAAAACAACAGCAGGTAAAGTCGTAACAACCTCAATGACTTCGTTAAAAAAAGGTATTGTGAGCGTTTTGTATGCAGTTCTTGTCTTTGACAACTCAGCATCCAAGACAAACTTTACACTTGAACGCAGACAGCTCAAAAACGCAA